TTGCTAGTAAAGAAAGGCCCATTAAGTACTAATATTTATCTGTATGTTAATCAGTTCATTAGAAAATGCTCAACACAATGCAGTTATGTGAGCTTTAAAAATGAAATGAAATTGAGATGAAAATAATTTAGGTTTGGAAGAATTGCACACAGAGGCAAACCGAAACTGAGATTTTCCCATTCATTGTTATGAATTATGTCTCATTTTTACACTGGATAGTTCAAGAGCTCTTCTAGTAAAATCCAAAATAATTTGACAGAATAACATGTAGCTATTGTCCTGTATTTTAGTGTCTTGAAAAGCTCAGTTTGAATCTGTGTAATTTCAAAAGGAGCAAAAATCTATATAAATAAAAATGTAATGTTTGTTTGTGGAATTATCATAACTCAAAAACCACTGGGTGAATTGACACTAAATTTGGATACAATACACCTATCAGGCCAACGAGTGACCATCACTCATAAAAACACTGAAAAATACAGCAGAAGGGACTTAAAAAGCCAAAAAACAAATATACATTATGATGCATGTGCAAACCCACATATATACACAAACACACATATATACACATATATACACACACAAAACACACAGAAAGGGGGAAGGAAGGAGAAAAGGAAGGAGAGAAAGGGAAAGAAGGAGGGAAGGAGAGAAAGAAAGAGAAAGGTAGAGAAGGAAGAAGGAGAGAAGGAAACAAAAAAGTGAAAGAGGAAAGGAAGGAGAGAAGGAACGAAAGAGGAAGGGAAGGAAGGAAAGAGACAAGGAAGGATAGAACCAAAGAGCAAAGAAAGCACGAAAAGAAACAGGTAGAGAAGGAAGGAAGAAAAAGAAAAAGAGGGAAGGAAGGAGAGTATCATAGAATCATAGAATCAAAGAGTTGGAAGAGACCTCATGGCAGAGGCGGCCCTAGGTAATTTTCAATGGTAAGCAAACAGTATCCCCCCCCCCCAAAACCAATCACTGATATATATTTTCTGTTCGTCGTGGGAGTTCTGTGTGCCATATTTGGTTCAATTCCATCATTGGTGGAGTTCAGAATGCTCTTTGATTGTAGGTGAACTATACATCCCAGTAACTACAACTCGCATATGTCAAGGTCTGTTTTCCCCCAAGAGCGCCTCAAGAGCACCCCTGGGCAAAATCAACTATACTGCAAATGCTTACTTTGCGTAATGGGTTGAGCCGCCCCTGCCTCATGGGCCATTCAGTCCAATCCCCTGCAGGAATATTGCATTCAAATCACCCCTGACAGATGGCCATCCCAGCCTCTGTTTAAAAGCTTCCAAAGAAGGAGCCTCCACCACACTCCGGGGCAGAGAGTTCCACTGCTGAACAGCTCTCACAGTCAGGAAGTTCTTCCTCATGTTCAGATGGAATCTCCTCTCTTGTCGTTTGAAGCCATTGTTCCTGTCCTAGTCTCCAAGGAAGCAGAAAACAAGCTTGCTCCCTCCTCCCTGTGGCTTCCTCTCACATATTTATACATGGTTATCATATCTCCTCTCAGCCTTCTCTTCTTCAGGCTAAACATGCCCAGCTTAAGCCGCTCCTCATAGGGCTTGTTCTCCAGACCCTTTATCATTTTAGTCGCTCTCCTCTGGACACATTCCAGCTTGTCAATATCTCTCTTGAATTGTGGTGCCTAGAATTGGACACAATATTCCAGATGTGGTCTAACCAAATTGTCCAGCCATTGCCTCCTAAGGCTAAAAAGTTTCCAATGCTATTATGAAAAATGTTTTCAGTAATGTAACTATACTTCCCACTCCCTCCACATCTTCTTACAACCTCATCAAATGGGCTTAGTTTTGACAGCAATCGCTGGATATTCTATAGCAGGGGTCTTCAAACTTTTTAAACAGAGGGCCAGGTCATAGTCCCTCAAACTGTTGGAGGGCCAGATTATAATTTGAAAAAAAATGAATGAATTCCTATGCACACTGCACATATCTTACTTGTAGTGCAAAAAAATTAAAAACAATATAATAATTAAAATGAACAATCTTAAATATAATTTTGTTAGTATTTCAATGGGAAATGTGGGCCTGCCTTTGGCTGATGAGATAGGATTGTTGTTGTTGTTGTGTGCTTTTGAGTCATTATAGACTTAGGTTGACCCTGAGCGAGGGCCGGGTAAATGACCTTGGAGGGCCGAATCCGGGCCCCGAGCCTTAGTTTGAGAACCCCTGTTCTATAGTTTTGCGATGAAGCCCACCGGTTCCCATCAGACAATGCTGAACTACTCCTGGTGGGGCTCTGTCATAAAACTATAGATGGGGCTTCCCATGTTGGCTTTGAGACAATGGGGGAAGCCAGACGGCTGATGCTTTTCCTGTGGGACGTGGTGACCGTCAAGTCAGGTTATGTGGGGCGTGGGGCGATGGGTTCCCCCTTCCTTTTACCAAAAGCTAAAATTCCAGGAATCTCCACATATTTACCAAAATATGTGGAGATTCCTGCAGCCCATGAGACAAAGTCTTTAGTGAGTTTTGCATACCATATAGAAGAAGCTTCTTCCAGCATTCTTGATGCCTTAAGTAAGCGACACAAATGTTTTCCACTACTTTATGAAGGCCTAGCAAATCCAAACCATACTTGCGAAGTGAATGATATAAACAATCCTGTTGGGAATGATCAAAATTAGGAGATTTGCTGCCTGAATAACTGCTTGGGGCAGAGATAGAATGTGTTTTCATGAAAGTTTAACAAGCCCTTCGTGTAATCTTTAGCCTCGTTCTATCCTCCAGCCCTTTACATTATGAAATCACTCTGTGTTGCTCTCTCATGCACGTTATTACAAGCCATGTCCAATTGGCCATCACACCTACATTTCTCAACCAACTAACCAACCACACAGAAGTGGTTGTTAGGCCTGAAGGGCTGGCCAGACCACTCTTCTGGCCCCACTCTCATTGTAACTGCCATGCTTCTTTTCATGCATTAGGTGCTTGCTGTGAAATGGAGTATTTATAAATCATCCACTTGAAAGCATCCTGATGATCTAACTGAAATCAATATGCAGCAGACTGAAACTAATGCAGTGGTATGCTGCAACTTGATACTTGCTCAGTGAATCCCTGCTGACAAGCAATCCTTGTTCCTAACTATGAGAAAAGACTGGAATGTCTTGAGGCTACCCCTAATTAGGAACTGGGATGGTTTTAAGTCATTGCACTTTATCCTATGAGGGAAAAAAAGTCATAAGTATACAAATTAAAATATCAATTGAGGAGATTTGCATACCAAGATACATCTTTATTCCACGGGACCAAGATACATGCTAGAACATGGTTCCTCTTCTAGGAAAACATAGACCACGGCCTCTTAAACATTTCCACTTGGCCTGAGGATTTTTTTACGTGATACTGGGTGATTGGTAATCATGGACGATGAATTTGGACTGCGATTCTAGTTACGAGATGCATTTGGATTGTTATTGGTGGCCCAATAATTTGTATTGTATATGTGTTTTCTATGCTTTTAAACTGAATATTGTTGTTTTTTGTAGTGTTGTAAACCGCATTGAGTCACCGACTTAGGCTGAGAAATAGCGGTATACAAGCGCAGTAATAAATAAATAAATAAATATAGCTATATAAAATAGGTACAAAGATCACACATTTACTGATAACAAATCGGCATTTTCAAGGCTAAACAGGCTGATTTTCACTGAAAATACTGCAACACAGTTCACTAGGTGATGTTTAGAAAACATTTATTTATTTAATAGCCGTCCCCTGCCACGCGTTGCTGTGGCCCACTGGTGGTCACGGGGGTTCTGTGTGGGAGGTTTGGCCCAATTCTATCGTTGGTGGGGTTCAGAATGCTCTGTGATTGTAGGTGGACTACAAATCCCAGCAACTACAACTCCCAAATGTCAAGATTCTATTTTCCCCAAACTCCACCAGTGTTCACATTTGGGCATCTGTGTTCTACTTCAGACTACTTCAACCAGAGAAATCAGCCATAGCAGAGCACCTGATGAACCAACCTGGACACAGCATATTATTTGAGAACACAGAAATGCTGGACCACTCTCACAACCACCATGTCAGACTACACAGAGAAGCCATTGAAATCCACAAGCATGTGGACAATTTCAACAAAAAGGAGGAGACCATGAAAATGAACAAAATCTGGCTACCAGTATTAAAAACTCTAAAATTAGAACAGCACAACAACAGAGAGGAAACAAACAAGGACATCTAATCACCTCTCAACAAAAGTTTGCTCGAGGCACTGTCAGGCCATTATATGCTAATCAAGGTGGTCAGTTGAAACATTCACACCTAGCTCCAGCAGGAAAGAGTCCTTTGTCTCACCCTGGTCATTCCACAGATATATAAACCCTTTTTCCTAGTTCCAACAGACCTCACTACCTCTGAGGATGCTTGCCATAGATTCAGGTGAAACGTCAGTAGAGAATGCCTCTATACCATGGCCATACAGCCCGAAAAAACCTACAACAACCCAGTGATTCCAGCCATGAAAGCCTTCGACAATACATTAAACAAACAAAACACTGGCAATGATGTCAACAAAAGTTGCTAAAAGGGCACCAATCAATGTATTTGTCTATAGTACTATTAATAGCAATGTTGTTTTAAAGTTATTTGCATTTTTAAAAATACTGTTATTTTACTGCAGAAAAATGTTATTCTTACCACTTTGCTTTCTTAGAAATAAGATTCTTCTTTTAACAAAACTCCTTTGATGCCAAAGTGTGTATTGCTTAAAGTGCTAAGAAGTATGTCTAATGGTTTTTAATCATCTGAGTAATGTTATATGGAATAGTGACACAAATCCATGTCAGTGCCTAGAAACAAGAAGAGAGCATGGAAATTATACTAATGTAAAAAGATGTGGTTCTACATAAGGAAGTGCATCATTTTTAATATAATGAAGACCACCTTTTTCCCAAGTGTAACGTTCATGTACTGCTATAATAACTGGGTTTAGCATTAGGATTATGATAATCACTTCTAATTATTATCATTCCACAGGTTTACTTTCTGGTACCTGTTACACTCTCCGTAGTCATAATTTCAGTTTTTCAGATACCAGCTTTCATCAATGACAATAATCTATTGGCTGTATTCCTACTTCTCATTTTGTTTGGGTAAGGATTTTGTTTAGTTTAACTCAAGCTCAACTTAACGCGCTGCTTTCCCAGCCGCATTAAGTACTAAATGTTGGAAATAGCAACCTTCTACAAGTCTCCTCTACTATTTGTTTGTTATGTATATAATTAAGATTGCTTGATGTATGTATGTATATATTTTGGTATGCAGTTTTTCCCTTAACTCTATGTTGTTAGAGGTTGTGGGAGGGACTACAGACCATGTGATTCAGACTGAGACTCCATTTTAGAATGCGTTTGAATCAGTGAAATCATTTGGAGTCAGTTGAAGTTTGAGTCAGTTGGAAGTTAGAAGTCAGTGAAATCTGTTATGTCACTTAGAGCAGGAGTATAGTTAGTTAGTTAGTATGATGCAATGAGATGTTCAGTTAATATACAAGTCTGTTTGCAGCAGATGTATAGTATAGTATAGTACAGTTTTAAGTATATGTACAGTTTTAAGTACAGTTTTAAGCATGACCACATGACCTTGTAGGCTTAGAAATGGAAATGAACACACACACACACACCAGAGTCAGACACAACTGGACTTAATATCAGGGGTAACCTTTACTTTCACCTATAACATTATATTGCTTCAGTAATGATATCTGTTCATTTTGTCCCCTCTATATTAGTAGAACATCATTTCTTTTTTAATATAAGAACAACAACATTCTTTTGTATTTTGGATATGCTATTTTGCAACATTTCAGTAGGAAGCTTGAAATGAAAAAATAAATAAAACAGTGAATTGTGTCAGTATGAACTCTCACTTAACCTCTTGTTGATTAAAATGTCTGTAGTGAACACTCCAACCCAGGTCACCTCAGAAACCACAGCATCCCGTCTTCCCCTCCATTCTTCCCTCTGTCTGTATTTCTAGAAAATCTTGCTCAACATCAGGCAGTTTTATTGTTTCTTTTGTCCTTGGAATAATGAAAAGAAACACTATTTTCTTGTAGCCACAAAGAAAAACCACCAGGAAGTGTCAATCAGAAAATGAAGCACTTTTTGATAGCTCTGATTTGATGGTCTTTTGTGTAGATTATCCTTTCTATTGTTGTTGATGTTGTTGTTGTAATGAATGTTTTGCAGATACGCTTCATTTTCATGGATGTATTTGTTGGCTGGCATATTCAAGGAAACTGGGATGGCCTTCATAGTTTATGTCTGCATCAACTTGTTCTTTGGCGTCAACACAATAATCACGCATGCAACTGTGTTGGAACTTTCCCAAGAAAAGGCAGATCAGGTAACTCTTAACAAGATGTCATTTGTATTCCTGTACAAGTGTGCGAAATGCATTCCGCTTCGGAGAATGGACTACTATTCTATTTCAGAAAAATTGGGACTGGGTAGTCTTGGTTTTTTTTGAGTCAGGTAGAGAAGTGGACAATATCCTTGCATATATTAGATGACAGTCTACATGTGGAAGGCTTTACATACAGCTAGCTAAACTCTTGGGAGTATCTTCAGCCAAAGATAAATGGCCAGAGAAAACAAATAGTTCTCAGTGGCTACCAGTGAAATTGGCTGCCGATCCAGTTCTCAGCACAATTCAAAGTGCTGGTTTTGATCTACAAAACCCTATATGGCTCCGGCCCAGCGTACCTGTCCGAACGCATCTCCTTCTACGTCCCGCTTCGGAGTTTAAGATCTTCTGGGGAGGCTCTCCTCTTGGTCCCATCTCTATCACAAGCGAGATTGGTGGGGATGTGGAGCAGGGCCTTCTCAGTGGTGGCCCCTCGCCTGTGGAATTCACTTCCCGGGGAAATCAGATCATCGACATCCCTCCTCTCTTTCAGAAGGAAACTAAAATCATGGATATGGGACCAGGCATTTGGGTAATCTGGCAGATAATGACGACTAGAATTGATAGGATTTGACAATGTGGAATGAATTTATGGATTCTGAGCTGGCGAACGTTGAACATTAGATTGGTTTTATTGATTGTGATATATAACTTGATTGTTTTAATTGTTTTATAATTGCTTTTGATACATGTTTTGTTTTATTGTTGTTGTTGGCATCGAATTGTGCCTTTTGTAAGCCGCCCTGAGTCCCCCCTCGGGGGTTGAGAAGGGCGGGGTAGAAATGCACGAAATAAATAAATAAATAAAATAATAAATTGATGGTTGCCATGAGAATGGGATGATGAATCCACTCCAGGTTTTGAATACAGTGATCAGAAATGCTAAATATAGATGGGGATGAGGATCAGTTCAAAGCAGAAGGGGATTCTATAAGCAATTACTTGTGGCTGAATATGGGTAAGGGTAGGGTAGAGTCTTGGTGGTGGATCTGTAAGTCAGTGTAGAGACCGATTCTGGATCTGCATGGTATTTCACATTGAAGAGAGATTTCTATATGGAAGGCAGTCCTGACAAAGGTTTGCTTGACATGCCTCCCTCTTGACATGCTTCCCCTTTCACCCTCTATTTGTGCCTCCTCAAAATCCATAGCACTGTTGGTAGCAGCTGGCCTCTACTTAGAGCACTTGAGGAGCAGGCCTTCCTAGTTCTTGATTTTTATATCACTTTTTAAAGGTTTGCTTTAAACTCATCTTTAAATATCTTTTGCTGTCTACCAGCATTCTGAAAGGAGATTCCATCTGAACATGAGGAAGAACTTCCTGACTGTGAGAGCCATTCAGCAGTGGAACTCTCTGCCCCGGAGTGTGGTGGAGGCTCCTTCTTTGGAAGTTTTTAAACAGAGGCTGGATGGCCATCTGTCAGGGCTGATTTGAATGCTTCTTGGCAGGGGGTTGGACTGGATGGCCCATGAGGTGTCTTCCAACTCTTTGATTCTATGTTTCTATGATTCCATTCTTAAGTTGAGAGTAAATTAGCTTTTTTGGGAGAATGATCGGGCATTCAGACAACTTGACTAGTCCAGTGAAGTTGATGGTGGAGAGTCAGCACTTCATTGCTTCTTCCAGAATGCTGACATTTGTCCATCTGTCTTCTCAAGAGATTCATATGAGTGGATTCATCACCCCAGCTCTGAGCTCCCTTCTGATAGCCAGTGCCCATCCTCTAGGTATAGTCAGTCAGTACTGAGTTAAGTCAGTGGACAAAAGCAGTGGTGTTCTACTGCTAAAGATATAGATATAAAATTCATATCTTAAGGTTATTAATCTGTTTAATTAATAATAGAATTTATCTGGTTAATTAATAACAGAATACAAAGAGATGAAGTTAGGTGTGTGCATGTACTTTATGGAGATAATTTTAGCTCTCCTTCCCTGCATGCCTCTGTTGGTATTGAAAATACATTGCCTTTTGTATTGAGTGACTTCCAAGGAAGACTCAGTAAAAAAAATAATGTATAGATGTATTCGACCCCTGAAAGGTTAAATAAGATTTATCATGCTAATACATTTAGGTGTTGGAAGTACAATGCTCAACAAGCAGATTTGTATTCTGACTCACAGTTACAGCCTAAAGTTCAAATAGATTGGCATCAAATGCCTCATATTATCCAGTGTATAGAAGAGATAAGATTGAACTTTGGCTCTCTAACCATTCTTCTAAACCATTTGAAAGATGGAACTAAAAGGACTGTTCAGCTTTTGCATATGAATTTTTTTGGCAGCTGGAAAAAAAAACTATTCTGGCTTATAGTTAGAAATTTCAAGCATCACCACCAAATTCAAGCTCATGCTTAGAAATTATGTACATGGATGCATTGACCTCCATATGATGCAAATATTAATTTATCCCTGTGCATTATTTGTAACTCTTTAGTACAAAAATAGAGTTGCAGTTGAACATACAAAGAGCATACAACAGAGTTGCAGTTGAACATACAAAAAGCAAAAATAATGCCCATAGATGATTTACATAACTTTAAGGTAGATGAATAGTCAAAAGGTTTTCTATATCTTGGTTCATTCATGAATCAAAATGGAAGTCAAAGGAATACCAATATTTTGGAGGGCAGCTAAGCTTTGGAATAACTGGATTGTTCCTGAAGTATAAAGATAAATAAATATAAAGATAAATATAAAGACAGGGGGAGTGTGACCCTGTTGGTTCTCTTGGATATCTCAGCGGCTTTCAATACCATCAATCATGGTATCCTTCTGGGACGACTTTCTGGGATGGGCCTTGGAGGTACGGCTTTCTCGTGGCTCTGGTCCTTCCTGGAGGGTCGATCCCAAATGGTGAAGCTGGGAAACGCCTGCTTGGACCCCTGGCCTTTGACCTGTGGGGCCCCGCAAGGCTCCATTCTGTCTCCCATACTTTTTAATATCTACATGAAACCACTGGGAGAGGTCATCCGGAGTTTTGGAGTTGGGTGCCATCTCTATGCAGATGACACACAACTCTACTACTCTTTTCCACCAAACTCCAAGGAAGCCCCTCGAGTGCTAGACGAGTGCCTGACCGCTGTGGCTATCTGGATGAGGACGAACAAGCTGAAGATTAATCCCGACAAGACAGAGGTCCTCCTGGTCGATCGTAAACCAGACCGGGGTATAGGGTGGCAACCTGTGCTGGACGGGGTTGCACTCCCCCTGAAGTCACAGGTCCGCAGTTTGGGTGTCGTCTTGGACTCTTCACTTACGTTTGAGGCTCAGGTGTTGGTGGTGGCCAGGAGGGCCTTTGCACAATTAAGACTCGTGCGCCAACTGCGACCGTACCTCGGGAAGGCGGATCTGGTCCACGCCTTAGTCACCTCTAGACTGGATTACTGCAATGCATTCTACCTGGGGCTGTCCTTGAAAATGGCTCGGAAATTCCAGATGGTCCAACGGGCGGCAGCCAGGTTGTTAACTGGGGCTCCTTACAGGGAGTAGTCAACCCTCCTGTTCAAGGAGCTCCACTGGTTGCCATTCATTTTCCGGACCCAATTCAAGGTGCAGGTTCTTACCTACAAAGCCCTGAACGGTTTGGGACCCACCTACCTTCGTGACTGCATCTCTGTATACGAACCCACACAATCTCTTTGATCATCTGGAGAGGCCCTGCTCTTAATCCCACCTGCATCACAGGCACGATTGGTGGGGACGAGAGAGAGGGCCTTTTCGGTGGTGGCCCCTCGACTCTGGAACTCACTCCCTAAGGACATCAGGCAGGCCCCAACTCTGGCAGTCTTTAGGAGGAGTTTGAAGACGTGGTCGTTCCAGTGTCCCTTCCCGGAATAATGATCCCATAGCACTTTGTCCTCCAAAGCACTTTACATTTTAGGTCTGCTTGTATTTTCCACAAACGCCACTTTCACCTTTTTGCCCATGCCCCGGCATTACTTCCAATTTTAACTTTACATTTGGCCTTCCCACAGTTTTAATTGTATGTTGTCTTATTGTTAATTGTTGCATATTTTATTGTCTATGTTTTTATTTTAATTGTATTGTTATTATTGCTTGTATTGTTGTATTTGGGCTTGGCCTCATGTAAGCCGCACCAAGTCCCTTGGGGAGATGGTAGCGGGGTACAAATAAAGTGTTGTTGTTGTTGTTGTTGTTGTTGTTATTATTATTATTATTATTATTATTATTATTAATAGTTGGATATCAGGGTTAGGATTATCCATGTCATAATATTTAAGATTTCTACATAGGGTTGTACAACCCGGACAGCAATGAAGACTGAAAGGAAGAGAAGCAAGTCATTTGATGTGTTCTGCTTGGAGGAATATTCCACAGCTACTGTGGACTGTCAAAAAGATAAATAAATGGATCCTAGAGCAAGCCAAGTCTGAAGTCATCAAAATGACTAAACTGAAACGATGTTGCTTGGCTATATCATGCAATTACATGACTCATTAGAAAATATACTAATGCCTGATAAGGTAGAAGGGAGTCAGAAAAAAAGGAAGACAGGTAGATTGAACACCCAACTCAGGGCTTGGGTGTTCAATCAAGGAACGTTCAAGCCCTGAGTTTACAGAACATGAGCAAGGCTTTTGATGGCAGTGTCTTATAATAATAGAATCCTAGAGTTGGAAGAGACCTCATGAGCCATCCAGTTCAACCCCCTGTCAAGAAGCAGGAAAATCACTTTCAAAGAGCCCCTTGAACATCTTGAACATGCCTTCCTCATAGGGTCACCACTAATTCAAGCTAACCTGGCAGAAGTTAACACAATGGTGATCATTTTAGTCGTCCTCCTCTGGACACATTCCAGCTTGTCAATATCTCTCTTGAATTGTGGTGCCCAGAATTGGACACAATATTCCAGGTGTGGTCTAACCAAAGCAGAATAGAGGGGTAGCATTACTTCCCTAGATCTAGACACTATGCTCCTATTGATGCAGGCCAAAATCCCATTGGCTTTTTGGCGCTGCATCACATTGTTGGCTCATGTTTAACTTGTTGTCCACGAGGACTCCAAGATCTTTTTCAGACGTGCTGCTCTTGAGCCAGGCTTCCCCCATTCTGTATCTTTGCATTTCATTTTTTCTGCCCGTAATGAATCTTTCCTTCCATCCCAAGTTTATAGCATTGAAGAAAATGAGAAATTTGTTCACCCTTGCACCTCTTGTGTTTGTATCCTTTTGATCACTTTGTCTGCCACTCTTCTTTGAACAGCTAACTCTTTTCCTAAATGCTTAAGATACTTCATTATGTAAAATGTAGGGAAATGTCCTAGAGAGGGAGACATCTTATTGGACAGGAAGTCCTTATTTCCTTCCCTGTAGCTACACCCTTGCAATGATGCTAAGTGCAAAAACACTAGCTGTCTCTCCTGAAAGGCAACCTTTGCTTTTAAAACAGAATTTCTTGTCATCTTTCATCGAAGATCTACTTCTTTCTTGACTGCACACTCAGGAATTTTTTTTGTAAAGGCATTTAAACAGCAAGAAAACACACACACAAACAAAAGAGGAAGATTTTTACAAAACTGCTGTGGCCTAAAAACCAGGCAGGGTGTGTTGACTGACATTGATATGTCCTTTGCAGGTGTTTGGCTCTGTCTCCCCATGATAATTTATTGTGTATCTGACATAGCCAATACTCAAATGTCAGCTGCATTTCTCATGCTTCGTGACAAGAAGAATTGGTGTTATCCACAAAGGCCAACTTTTTACTGCATGTCAAGTGTTATTTTCACAGATAGCTTTCTTTTAACTACTGTCTGGAGTTTATGACAGGCCACTTTTCTAATCTGCTAGGTAACTTCATGAAGACCATTTTGATATGAGCAGGTATTGAAGACGGTTGGGAATCAAACGACGTACAGATTATAGGAAAGCCACAGGGATTTGTGGGAACAATTCCAATGTGCTGAATGGGCTGTGGCTCAGATTAATTTGATCATAGAATCATAGAATCAAAGAGTTGGAAGAGACCTCATGGGCCATCCAGTCCAACTCCCTGCCAAGAAGCAGGAATATTGCATTCAAAGCATCCCTGACAGATGGACACCCAGCCTCTGTTTAAAAGCTTCCAAAGAAGGAGCCTCCACCACACTCCGGGGCAGAGAGTTCCACTGCTGAACGGCTCTCACAGTCAGGAAGTTCTTCCTCATGTTCAGATGGAATCTCCTTTCTTGTAGTTTGAAGCCATTGTTCCGTGTCCTAGTCTCCAAGGAAGCAGAAAACAAGCTTGCTCCCTCCAGGCATGTAGCCAGGGAGGGGGGCTCGGGGGGCTTCAGCCCCCCCCCCCCAAATTTTCATGGTGGTTCGCGAAAAGGCCTTACTGGTGCATTATTTAAACTGTTATGTTTATTCATATCATGATCTGATCACCATACTCAGTATATCCCATATGCATGGGGGTATCAATACAAAAGGTTTGCTAGGCTAGACCCTCTTTCACTCAGATTCAGCCCCCCCCGAAACTCAGCCCCCCCAAAAAAAATTCAGCCCCCCCCCCCGAAACAAAATCCTGGCTACGGGCCTGGCTCCCTCCTCCCTGTGGCTTCCTCTCACATATTTATACATGGCTATCATATCTCCTAGGAGCCCCTGGTGGTGCAGTGGGTTAAACCCCTGTGCCGGCAGGACTGAAGACCGACAGGTCGCAGGTTCGAACCCGGGGAGAGGCGGATGAGCTCCCTCTATCAGCTCCAGCTCCTCATGCGGGGACATGAGAGAAGCCTCCCACAAGGATGATAAAACATCAAATCATCCGGGCGTCCCCTGGGCAATGTCCTTGCAGACGGCAAATTCTCTCACAACAGGAGCGACTTGCAGTTTCTCAAGTCGCTCCTGACACGACCAAAAAAAAATCATATCTCCTCTCAGCTTTCTCTTCTTCAGGCTAAACATGCCCAGCTCCTTAAGCCGCTCCTCATAGGGCTTGTTCTCAGATCTCAACCATTTAATCCCAAATAACTTGATCAGATCTCAATGGTTTAAGTCATTTCCAGCTTATAGCAATCCTGAGGGTTTCTTGACAAGATTGGTTCACAGGGGTCTTGCAAAAATAAATAATTTAATATAGTTCATCTCTGTGAGGGAGTAATCCCTGTGGAATTCCATGCAAGTTATTTTTTAGCAAACATGCTTAGGGTCCCATCACCTCCAGATGTTTTAGATGTCAGGTAACATAACTGGGCATGATGGGAGGGTTTTTCAAAAAACACCTGGAGATGTTCAAGTTGAAGAAGGTTGAAACAGAAAGATGGCCAGCTGGGACGGCATCTTATACCATCCATTATTTTATTGTTGACCTGCATTTATCATTTCATCTCATAAGCAGCCCAGTATTCCTGTCTCTTTCCTTTTCCAATCCCTATGGAAATTAAGTTGCTAGAACAGAATGATGAGATAATCAGAAAGAGCAAGCCAGATAGAGACAATCTGATACACTCCCGTTTTCTCTGTCTTTAACAACTTTGAGATGTTTCAACAGAGCAGCCTGGCTTATGGGGTGTGAATAATAATAATAATAATAATAATAATAATAATAATAATAATAATAATCTTTATTTATACCCCACCACCATCTCCCCAATGGGGACTCGGGGCGGCTTACATGAGACCAAGCTCAAACAACAAATTATGGCAAAATAAAACCGAAAACGCAAACAATAAACAACATCATAATTACATAAGACATAGAATCATAGAATCAAAGAGTTGGAAGAGACCTCATGGGCCATCCAGTCCAACCCCCTGCGAAGAAGCAGGAATATTGCATTCAAATCACCCCTGACAGGTGGCCATCCAGCCTCTGTTTAAAAGCTTCCAAAGAAGGAGCCTCCACCACACTCCGGGGCAGAGAGTTCCACTGCTGAACGGCTCTCACAGTCAGGAAGTTCCTTAAGCTGCTCCTCATAGGGCTTGTTCTCCAGACCCTTGATCATATTAGTCGCTCTCCTCTGGACACATTCCAGCTTGTCAATATCTCTCTTCAATTGTGGTGCCCAGAATTGGACACAATTTTCCAGGTATGGTCTAACCAAAGCAGAATAGAGCGGAGCTGATGAATGCATAAAAATATAGCCAAACTTTGAGTTTTATGACCAGACTTTGAGTTCTGCAGGACAAAGTAAAGAAACTTTCCCAACTCTGATGGCCTCCAAAGATTTAAAAGTGTTACTTTTAAAGGCAGGCTGGGAAAGCACAAGATGGTGGGAAGCATGTTCAGATAAAGGCAAACAGGTGCCTTTCTAAAAGCAGGGAGCAGATTAAGCCCCTTTAAGTTTGCATCTATTTGATTCATCATAGTGGTGCTCATATATATTTTCATTTATTAAGTACATTATTGTGTTCATCCTCTGGGTTTCTCTAGGTTGTGTGATGCTGGTTGGTTGGACTACTATAGAGAAGGACAAAGGACCACAACATGTCTCTGTGTAACACACCATAGATCTTCTTCCTCAACGGGCATTTTGCTGTAAAAAATATGGCCATGTGAAATTCAATCCATTAAGTTATGTTTAAAAAAATGTATAATGCTACACATTATAACAATTCTTCCTTTCTTTCAGGGCTTGCATGATCTCGCCGAAACTCTGAAGCATGTTTTTCTGATGTTCCCACAATTCTGCTTTGGATACAGTTTGATGGAATTGTCATACCATCAAGCTTTGATGGGTTTCTTGAAAGCATATGGAGTTGTCTGCCCTGACAGAACATTTGAATTGGACAGAACAAGTTCCAAACTTCTTGGGATGTTCATCCAGGGGACAATATTCTTTTCAATCCGCCTCTTGATTGATGATGGGACTTTTCATAAAGTTTGGCATAAGATATTGGAGTAAGTGATGTCTTCACTGGGAGAATAATTTCACAATGGCAAACAAAAATGATGGATGGAGTGGGATGTTTTGGGTGGTTTATCTTTTGTTTGTGACTTTTTCTTTTACATCAACAGCAAGGATTTGTAAAATGCGTTGGCAACGCAGGATGAAACTGAGATTGCATCAATTTCAGTTTGCTCCACACTGCTGTTCTTCCATCGCAGTCAACCATCAATATGTTGTCGAAGGCTTTCATGGCCGGAATCACTTGGTTGTTGTAGGTTTTTTCGGGATGGAGTCACCTCACTACCTCTGAGGATGCTTGCCATAGATGCAGGTGAAACATCAGGACAGAATGCCTCTAGACCATGGCCATATAGCCCGAAAAAACCTACAACAACCCAACCATAGATACTTGACATGCATGGAATTTCAAAATGCATGTATTGTTTTGCTGCATGGCTGGGAATTACAGAGGGTGTGATGATTAAACTTTAAAAGGACATTGTGTCCTGTCTGGGAATTATTCATAAACTAGTTAAAGCGGGTAGTTCCTGGGTTTAACTTAAACCAATTTAGGCTGCTCTGAGAATGAGTGCCAGATAATCCCATGAGTGTAATCTCCACTAAACATAATGGTGTATGTGTATGTTCTTTCAAGTTGCCTGTCAATTTACAGCAACCCCATGGATTTAATAAGATTTTCTTAGCCAAGGACTACTCAGACTACTCAGATTTTATATGTTGGAACCTTGGAAAAGCAGATTTCAGCCAGAGGGTGCTGTACATATTTAATGTGATTTTCAATGTTTTTAAATCCAGTTTAATATGATGATTGGTTTACTTAGCTTTCAAAATTATAATTTGTTATGCTTTTAGATCTATCTTGTTTTTAAATTATGTTCTGAACTGCCTTGAGTACCCATCTCAGGAGAAAGACAGGATGTAGACCTAATGAATTAATTAACTAACTAACTAAGTGAAGCAAAATAACTCCCTGCTTTAAATGGCTTGAACCTCTGAAGGAATAGTCTTCAGAGCCAGGCAAGATCTCATTCCACCCAAAGACCAGCTTGGGAGGAGTGATAGGTAGAGCAGTAACATCAAGAGTGGACTTGCTACCATTGTGCTGAGGAGTCTACAAGACTTTTCTTCAGATAACCGAAAAGAGTCCTGCTTCCTGTATGTCAGATATAGGATCTCATCACACTTACCGTATATACTCGAGTATAAGCCGACCTGAATATAAGCCGAGGCACCTAATTTTACCACAAAAAAATAGGGAAAACTTATTGACTTGAGTATAAGCCGGGGGTGGAAAATGAAGCAGCTAATGGTAAATTTCAAAAATAAAAATAGATACCAATAAAATTGCATTAATTGAGACATCAGTAGGTTAAATGTTTCTGAATATTTACTGTATTTCAAAGAAAAACAGTAAACTAGCTCTTTAAGTAGAAAAGGAGAGTCAACAAAAACAACAGTATCAACAATAACTTAAGAATAATAGTAATAATAATAATTTATTTGTACTCTGCCCTATCTCCCCATGGGGACTCAGGGTGGCTTCCAACATTGTATGTTTCAAAATGCTGACATTTGTTCATAAATTTGATGGAAATAATTTATATTTTTGAAAAAAAGAAATTGATGTTGGGAAAAATTAAACTGGCATATTCACACATCTCCATTTCCCAGCAGCATTTGGCACTAAGGCCTATTATTTTGTGTTGAACAGGAGTTTCCATCTACTCAGGAGTATAGCTATGAGGAGAGGGTGAACGCACTCTGCCCCCAAATGAAATTTACCTTCATTACCTACATTTCTAGCATTGAGATAAGATAAAACATCAATTAACCATTGACAAGTAGAGTTGATGTACCCAAAGAAAAGGGACAGGCAAAATTACAAAGAGAATGTGAATACAGCAAATAGAAGAGTTCTGGGTGTGAACTATTGTCAATGTCTATCTATATAAATAAAAATGTAATGTTCGTTTGTGGGATTAACAGAACTCAAAAACCAGTGGGCCAATTGATACCAAATTTGGACAGCATACACCTAACAACCCAATGTATGTCCTTCACTCAAAAATTTTTGATTTTGTCATTTGGGAGTTGTAGTTTCTGGGATTTATGGTTCACCTACAATCAAAGAGTATTCTGAACTCCACCAATTATGGCATTGAACCAAACGTGGCATACAGGACTCCCCATGACCAACAGGGTTTGGTGGGCATTGACTTTGAGTTTGGGGGTTGTAGTTCACCTACATACAGAGAGCACTGTGGACTCAAACTATGATGGCTCTGGACCAAACTTGGCACAAATATTCCATATGCCCAAATATGAACACAGATGGAGTTTGGGGAAAATAGGCCTTGACATTTGGGATTTGTAGTTACTGGGATTTATACTTCACCTACAATCAAGAGAATTCTGAATCCCACAAACGACAGAATTGGGGCAAATTTCCCACACAGAACCCCCATACTTAAGGCTATCCAGTCCAACTCCCTTCACCAGGGGCAAGAAAATGTAATCAGAGCCCTCCTGACAAAGAGCCATCCAGCCATACATATAGACAGATAGATATGATTCACACACACACACACACACACACACAGATATAGTATCATAGATTTGAAAGGGACCCCTAAAGAAGGACTATTATATGTTCCATATTCCAGAATAGGCAAACCAGACACTCTCCACATCAACACTGACAAAGAAACAACAAGAAATACTATTTACCCACAAGCATAAAGACATTACTTATATTAGAAACCAACACTCTCTCATTACTTTATTTTCCAGATCACCAGACTGGGCCACAGCAATGCATGGTAGGGGATGTCCAATCTTCTATAAATCCATAAATTTTAGGACTGAAGAAAATGTCCTTTGAGGGGCAGAATTCTTACTTGAATGTAGTACCCAGAGCCAGAAAAGTGCAGTAGTTTGCACACTGGATGATTCTGGAAAACAGGGATCAAATCTCCACTCAGCCCTGGAAACCTATAGAGTAGCCTTAGAGGAAGTCAAAGGCAAATCTGCCAATAATATCCCAAGATAAAATTGTCATAACTCAGAAACATTAAATACCACACAACAAGAACAAGAACAGAAATCCTCATTTTGCCTCCCATAGTTACCCTTCTGTTTTGATAGGCATGAACAGGCTTAAATTTTGTTTATTTTTCAGATCTCTTTTCGAAGTTATCTAAGCCACTGGCCATCACAGGAACTCATACATTAATTTTACAATGTGCGAAGAAGTATTGCAAGAGTGCCCTGGGGGTCAGAGCTCAAAGATCATAATAATATTTCTGTCCCTAATTCTTTTTTAAAGGCAGAATAATATATGCCTTTAGTAAGGAGCTGTGTTCCTTCTGTAAGATACTGGTTTTTTTATGTTTTTATGCCTGCCCTTCAGCAGACTCCCAAAGAAATACAGCACTGGGGAGATAAAACAAGGTTGCTTTCCTCTTTTCTAGGTTTTTGTTTAACAAAGTACATGGAGAGACACCACTCCAACTGGAAGCAGTGGATGAGAAAGAAGACAAGGATGTCCAAGCAGAAAGAGAGCGGGTCACAATGGGTCTAACGGATTGCGACATGCTGCAGCTCCAGAACCTCACCAAAGTCTACCACCTCCTCCATCGAAGGATTGCAGCAGTAAAAAATGTCAGCGTTGGGATTCCAGCAGGAGAGGTGGGTTTCTGTATGCGGCCTGGGGGAGAGGAAGCCCTTTTCTCCCTTTTGTTTTGGGCAGCAACATGCCTTGGTGCTAACTCTGGCTGAAGTATTTTGTCTTTTCTCTGTTGAAACTAATTTATTTCCAGCATTTCTACCCTGTCCTTCTCAACCTTCGGAGGGGGACTCAGGACGGCTTACACTTGGCAACAATTTGATGCCATAACACATAAACAGATACAACAATATAACATTAATTAAAACAATTAAAAACATTATTGTCAGCCATATTACTATTCCAGTCCAATTCCACATCCAAAGTGCTGTTATACCTGCTGTCCAAAAGCCTGGTCCCAGAACCATGATTTCAATTTCTTCCTAAAAGACAGGAGGGATGAAGCTGACCTTATCTTGCTGGGAAGCAAGTTCCATAGGCGGGGGACAACTGCCGAGAAGGCCCTGTCTCTCATCCCCACCAGGGATGAGAGAGCCCCCAGTGGCGCAGTGGGTTAAAGCCCTGTGCCGGCAGGACTGAAGACCGACAGGTCGCAGGTTCGGATCCGGGGAGAGGTGGATGAGCTCCCTCTATCAGCTCCAGCTCCTCATGTGGGGACATGAGAGAAGCCTCCCACAAGGATGATAAAACATCAAAATCGTCCGGGCGTCCCCTAGGCAACATCCTTGCAGACGGCCAATTCTTTCACAACAGAATGCTCCTGACACGACAAACAAACAAACAAAAAACCAGGGATGAGAGACCAAGAGCAGGGCCTCCCTGGATGATCTTAAACTGAAAGGTGGGACATAGAGGGAGATACGTTCAGACAAGTAAGCTGGGCCAGAACCATATAGGGCTTTATAGGCCAAGACCAACACTTTGAATTGTGCTCAGATGTAGACCGGCAGCCAGTGGAGCTGACACAACAGTGGGGTGTATGCTCCCTGTATGTTGCTCCAGTAAGTAATCTGGCTGCTGCCTATTGGTCTAGTTGGAGTTTCCAAACAGTCTTCAAAGGCAACCCCACATAGAGTGTGTTGCAGTAATGTATTCGAGATGTAACCAGAGCGTGGACCACCGTAGCCAGATCAGACTTCCCAAGGTACGGGCACAGCTGGCACACAAGTTTTAACTGTGCCACCACCAAGACCTGCAGTTCCAGGCTCAGCAATGACTCCAGGATCACTCCCAAGCTGCGAATCTGTGTCTTCAGGGGGAGTGTAACCCCATCCAACACTGGCTGTGTAACCCTATGCCTAAGGTGCTTTTCTGTATATTAATGCACTTCCAATGGGGATCCATGGCAAAAGGGGAGAGGAAGTGGTGTACGCTACTGCCTCTATTAAACAAGAGGCTTCCCATGTTGCATTTGCAACAATGAGGGGATGCCAAATGGTGGATGCTTCCACCCTGGGATGGGGACAAAGGTAAGTTGGGTGATGCGGGGTGTGGGGTGAAGGGCTCTCCACGCCCCCTGCTGAGACCCCACAGATTCTCCACAATGTAAAAAATTATATGGCAAATCCCAGCATTAACGACCCTTAGTGTATTTATTTATTTATTTACAGCTTTTATATTCCGCCTTTCTCACCCCACAGGGGACTCAGGGCGGATTACAGTGTACACATATATGACAAACATTCAATGCCAATTTTTGACATACAAACATATACAGACATACACAGAGGCTATTTAACTTTTTCTGGCTGCCAGGGGAGCTGTCACTTTCATCGTCCATCTGCAACACTGATGAAGTACTTCCGCATTCCCTGCATGCTTTTTGCTGGAGTGCTTGCTGGAGTCATAAATTAGTTAATTTAGCCTCCCCACACTTTAAGGTGGTACCTAATTTTCCTACTTGACAGATGCAACTGTCTTTCGGGTTGCAAAGGTCAACAACGGGCTACACAATTGGTTGGAAACCCACTCCAACCCGGGCTGGCTTTGAACTCATGACCTTTTGGTCAGAGTGATCTTAATGCAGCTGACACTCAGCCAGCTGCGCCACAATCCTGGTGCCTTTGGGAATCTCTGCTCTAGCTGTTTATTTGAAAGACGTTAGGAAAGCATTGTAACCCAAACTTGGTCTTTATCCTTATATTCCAGTGCTTTGGACTGCTGGGTGTAAACGGGGCTGGAAAAACAACAATTTTCAAAATGCTGACAGGAGACATTGGGCCATCTGGTGGAAGGCTGCTGGTGCGCGATGAAACTGGGTATGGAGGAGTTGATTTAATTTATACTGTGAAATATGGGGAATGTAGCCGAGGAAATCAATGCAATGGGACATTAACTTGGATCAAAAGAAATCTAAGTGTGGAAATGAGAGTTATTGAGGAAAAGCACAAATGAAATAATGATTTCAGTTAAGAAACTGTTCCCAGCTTTATTCTTCTCCCCATTTCATTTAGAGAAGATTGAGACAATGCGACGTTTACATTGTAGCCTTATCAGAACCCTGCCTTAGGATAATGCCTTTTGAACTTGGTTGGATTTGCTTCCAAAGAAGCATGAACTCAACCATGCTGTAGGTTTGTACCAAGTAATTTGTACAAGGCAGGTGATTCAGTCTATGTCACTTTTCTGTTACTTGAATCAAGAGATTTGAACATGCTTTCTCAAAAGATGACAAACAGGCCTGTTGCTGGGTTTTTAAAAAATGCAAAGGATTTCAGGCATGGTTAAGCATATCCTTAACATACAACAAAAATAGCATATAGCCCTCTGAAATTTGCAATTCAAAAATTAGAAGTTGAAATGTGCAAGATGCTAAGGAGTGAGAAAGAGATAAATTATATCCATATAAACCTCTATACAGTTGCTCTGTGCAAAACATAGTCACCTGCTTTCATTTAACTTTAATGTTTAGAAGGTCATACCAGGCAGAACCTAAAAAAATATTAATACTTCAATTCAGATCTTTGAATGACATCAATGATTCCCACTGGTCGTTGTTTGGGTACTGTCCACAAGATGATGCCCTGGATGATTTACTAACTGTGGAAGAACACATGTACTACTATGCTCGCTTACATGGCATCCCAGAGAAACATATTAAAGGGGTAAGTAAAATTAGATAATTAAACATAAATGTACTGTGGAAATGCATTCACTGTACTTTGCTCAGGTGCATTCAAGGTTGAAAATGCCTAAAGTATTTTATATCATAATAAATACAGAGATTATATTAATAAAAACCATAATATGGTTTCTATAAATCTGTAAATAAGACTGAAAAAAATTAGATGCAACCAACATCTGTCCTTCAGTAAATTAATGACATCAAAAAGTTGCTTTAGAATTGAGTTCTGGTTAACTGAGGCTGGATCTACACTGCATATAATCCAGTTTTGGAATACAGATCTACACTGGCATATAATCCAGTTTTGGAATACAGATTAACTGCATTGATCTGGATTATATGGCAGTGTAGAACCAGCCTGAGAATCTAATGTAGGAAGTCAAAGGTTTGAAATGGAAAGTTCAGGGCACATTTTGTAATCAGTGCCTTTGGGTTCTAAGCAGGCATGTAGCCGGGGGGGGGGCTTGAGGGGCTTCAGCCCCCCCCCCGAAATTCTCATGGTGGTTCGCGCAAAGGCCTTACTGGTGCATTATTTAAACTGTTATGTTTATTCATATCATGATCTGATCACCATACTCAATATATCCCATATGCATGGGGGTATTGGGGTAATGATACAAAAGGTTTGCTAGGCTAGACCCTCTTTCACTCATACTCAGCCCCCCCCCCCGAAACTCAGCCCCCCCCCAACCCCCCCTGAAAAAAATTCAGCCCCCCCCCCCCCGAAACGAAATCCTGGCTACGGGCCTGGTTCTAAGCCATCAACTTTGGAGTAAATACAAAGAAGAGTGATCTACTTCTTCTATGGTTCTGTTGTTGAGTTCAGACTAATTTATTCACATTTCTTTTATTTCTGAGAAAATATAACACTAATAATAATAATATAAAATAATCAAATAACAACAATTTTATTTCTTACTCGCCTCTCTGTGTGGTTCAGTTTTCAATTTACCTGCATAAATTTCACACTTGAAATAATTTCTAGTAGTGGTCTCTGACCAATTCTGCATAATTTTACTCACCAGTGAGACTTGCAACCTAATCAGACAGGGCTTTTTCTGGTGGCATATGGCAATTGAGCCCTAGATGATCCACGGAGTCTGTTGCCTTCCATCAAACAATGCAGAGGAACTTCCAGCAGTGCTCCATGGGTCATCTAGAGTGGCGCCATGATGGCAACATGGGAGGCTTCCCCTCATGGGATCAGCTTCCTCTCGAGCTGGGTATTGCAGAGCACGAAGCTACGGGTTCCCCACACCCCACAAAAATAGTTGCTGCATTCGCCATGACGTGTGGCAATTCTGGCAGCCTGCATGATGAGGTTATTCGAAAAGCAAATTACTCAACAGTAAGTTTTGGAAAATAGTTTGCCCAAAATCAGTGTGTAAAGGTATCCTTGAAGTGACTGGCTTGACCTTGGTATCCTTAACCTTGGTATCCTTGAAGTGACTGGCTTGACCTTGAAGGAGTTGGAGGTGGTGACAGCCGACAGGGAGCTCTGGCGTGGGCTGGTCCATGAGGTCACAAAGAGTTGGAAGTAACTGAACAAATGAACAACAACAGTGTGTAAACAGAACTTCTCACTGAACTCTCTATTATTTGGAGTCATAGTTCTGTGTATCACCCACCCCTCCTACATCCTGAGATTGTGCACAAACACACAGCACCTGGTTCCAAGCTCCTGAAGCTGCCCAGTAACCACAACAAGCACTCCAGCAGAAGCAATGCTGGCCCACAAGAGAGCTGAGAAAGAGCCAAGGAGATTCCATCTGAACATGAGGAAGAACTTCCTGACTGTGAGAGCCGTTCAGCAGTGGAACTCTCTGCCCCAGAGTGTGGTGGAAGCTCCTTCTTTGGAAGCTTTTAAACAGAGACTGGATGGCCATCTGTCAGGGGTGATTTGAATGTAATATTCCTGCTTCTTGGCAGGGGGTTGGACTGGATGGCCCATGAGGTCTCTTCCAACTCTTTGATTCTATGATTCTATGTTTAATTCAGAATGTCTGTTTAGCCCATTCGTCAGCAGGAAATGTGTCGATCAGCAACCAGAATTGCAAATTTAGCCCATATTTACATTCATAAATCAAAGCATGGCATATAAAAGATATGTTTGGGCACAGACAAGGGTCTGTCACTGGAGATATTTTTTTGTAAATGTTTAATGAAAACAGGGATGTCAAAGGAGATGAGGTGAAATGCTCTGTGTAAATGTATGGAGAAGAGAGGGAAGGATTTGAAGGGGGAGCCCACCTAAAGCACAAGCAGTGTGTGTATGTGTGTGTGAGAGAGAAAGAGAGCTACTGAAAATAAAGCCAGCCAAGAGGGGAAAAGTATTACTCTCCCCTCCTAGAAAAAGGAGCAAAGTTGGACATCCTGCATTACCCTGCTTTATTTAAGTTTGCAGACGACACCAAATTGGGAGGAATAGCCAATACTCCAGAGGACAGGAGCAGAATTCAAAACGCTCTTGACAGACTAGAGAGATGGGCCAAAACTAACAAAATGAAGTTCAACAGGGACAAATGCAAGATACTCCACTTTGGCAGGAAAAACGAAATGCAAAGATACAGAATGGGGGACAATGCCTGGCTCGAGAGCAGGACGTGTGAAAAAGATCTTGGAGTCCTCGTGGACAACAAGTTAAACATGAGCCAACACTGTGATGTGGCAGCAAAAAAAGCCAATGGGAGTTTGGCCTGCATCAATAGGAGCATAGTGTCTAGATCTAGGGAAGTAATGCTACCCCTCTATTCTGCTTTGGTTAGACCACACCTGGAATATTGTGTCCAATTCTGGGCACCGCAATTGAAGACAGTGATTGACAAGCTGGAATGTGTCCAGAGGAGGGCGACTAAAATGATCAAGGGTCTGGAGAACAAGCCCTATGAGGAGCGGCTTAAGGAGCTGGGCATGTTTAGCCTGAAGAAGAGAAGGCTGAGAGGAGATATGATAGCCATGTATAAATATGTGAGAGGAAGCCACAGGGAGGAAGGAGCAAGCTTGTTTTCTGCTTCCTTGGAGATTAGGACGTGAAACAATGGCTTCAAACTACAAGAGAGGAGATTCCATCTGAACATGAGGAAGAACTTCCTGACTGTGAGAGCCGTTCAGCAGTGGAACTCTCTGCCCCGGAGTGTGGTGGAGGCTCCTTCTTTGGAAGCTTTTAAGCAGAGGCTGGATGGCCATCTGTCAGGGGTGATTTGAGTGCAATGTTCCTGCTTCTTGGCAGGGGGTTGGACTGGATGACCCATGAGGTCTCTTCCAACTCTTTGATTCTATGATTTCCTCCTTTCTTGCTCGCTTCTCTCCCATACCGATGGTTGGTACTACCCTCTCTAGTGATACCCCCTAGTAAATCTACATGTTCTGGATGTCCCCTAGTGATGCCACTGGGCCCAATTATATCCGTAATAACTGAGAATACATTCAGATTTAAAGACAGAAGTTTTGCAGTTCCTGGCCAAAATGACTTAGGCTCACTTTGAATACTTGTGTCTATTTCCCAGCACATTGGTTTTGGGGGGGGGGGGGGGGGGACAACCTCGGTTTCAGCAAGATAGTTGTCAGGTATCTAATCTTCTTTCTTGGACTGAGATTAGAGGAAGCTGTTATTCTTGTTTTCAGCAGACGATATTAGACATAGTGCTGCCTGGCTGGGGGAGTATAGAGGTCACTATTCTCTCAGAAGCTATTTTTGGAAATGGAAGTAAAATTATTCTGCTTTTTTTAAAAAAAGCAAAACAAACGGATTATAAGGCAAAGACAGAAAAATTGTTTTTGAGGTAATATGAAACTTTGGAAAGAGCTAGGTTTTTGAACCACGATGAGAAGGAAAAATAATAAATTAACAAATCAGCACTTGATTTACTGTGTGATTAAATCCATTAGAGCAGTGGTTCTTAACCTTTGGGCTGCGGACCACCAGTGGGCTGCGAGAATTAAAATCGGGTCCACGAGCCTCCTTCCTCTTTTATTTTATTTTATTTTACTATTTCTGCTCCTTTTGCATCGCCTGCCACTCCTTCCCTGTCGCTGACCATGGCATATGTTCTGTATCAGAAACTAGAGCAGATGTGGTCTATCCAATGCAATTTTCTGAATCAGCACCCCAAACCAAATGTAAAGTTGACCAAAAACTGATTTGTAACCCTTTTGAAACTAATGTTAGAGAGAAGTCCCTGGTCAAAGTGGTCCCTGGTCAAGTATTCCCTGGTCAAAGGGTCCCTGGTCATGTGCTCCCTAGTGAAGTGGTCTCTGGTAAAAAAAAAAAAGATTGGGAACCATTGCATTAGAGGAACAGAGTTGTGTTAGGGGTGGTGGTGGGAAGCAAACCCCTGAGTGTAAGATTAAAAAGTCCTTGTAAAGCAGTTGTTCTCAACCTGTGTGTCCCCAGGCCCTCAACTCTCAGAAATCCCAGCCAGTTTACCAGCTGTTAGGATTTCTGGCTTTAGGCCGGGACATGGAACTGAAACAGTCTTGGTCGCCTTAGTTGATGATCTTCACTGGGAGCTAGACAGGGGGAGTGTGTCCCTGTTAGTTCTGCTGCACCTCTCAGCGGCCTTTGATACCGGTGATCACGGTATCCTTCTGGGACGCCTAGTGGGAAAGGGCCTGGGAGGCACTGTTCTGCAGTGGCTCCGGTCCTTCCTATAGGGCCGATCTCAGAAGGTGTTATTGGGAGACACCTGTTCAACCCCACAACCATTGTCTTGTGGAGTTCCTCAGGGCTCAATATTGTCTCCCACGTTGTTTAATATCTACATGAAGCCGCTGGGAGAGATCATCCGGAGTTTCAGGGTACGGTGTCATCTGTACGCGGATGATGTCCAATTCTGTCACTCCTTTCCACCTGCTACTAAGGAGGCTGTTCAGGTCCTGAACCGGTGCTTGGCTGCTGTAACGGTCTGGATGAGAGCGAACAAATTGAAATTGAATCCAGACAAGACAGAGGTCCTCCTGGTCAGTCGCAAGGTTGAACAGGGCATAGGGTTACAGCCTGTGTTGGACGGGGTCACACTCCCCCTGAAGACATAGGTTCGCAGCTTGGGTGTGATCTTGAACTCGTCGCTGAGCCTGGAACCCCAGGTTTCAGTGGTGACCAGGGGAGCATTCGCACAATTAAAACTTGTGCGCCAGCTGTGTCCGTACCTTGGGAAGTCTGACTTGGCCACGGTAGTCCATGCTCTGGTCACATCCTGTATAGACTACTGCAACGCTCTCTATGTGGGGTTGCCTCTGAAGACTGCTTGGAAGCTTCAAATGGTCCAACGATCAGCAGCCAGGATGCTAACAGGAGCGGCACTCAGGGAGCATACAACTCCTCTGTTGCACCAGCTCCACTGGCTGCCAATTTGCTACCGGGCACAATTCAAAGTGCTGGCTTTAGCCTTTAAAGCCCTAAACGGTTCTGGCCTGACCTACCTGTCCGAACGCATCTCCTATGAACCAGTTAGGACATTAAGATCGTCTGGGGAGGCCCTGCTCTCAATCCCACCAGCTTCACAAGCACGCCTGGCGGGGACAAGAGACAGGGCCTTCTCAATGGTGGCCCCTCGGCTGTGGAACGCCCTTCCTACAGAAATCAAATCGACCCCCTCCCTATTGGCATTCCAGAGGAAAGTAAAGACCTGGCTGTTTGAACAGGCATTCGACTAGGCAGTGTAATCGATTATTGGAACACGGAATAAGGATAATTAGACTGGATTCTGATTCTATCGATGAGACATGATGGATTTGTTATATTGATGTTTGATGTTTAATTAATTGTTATGCTATTGCTTTTAAATGTCCAATGATTTTGTACTGTGTATATTGAAACTGTTGTTGTTGACCGCTCTGAGTCGCCTAAGGGTTGAGAAGAGTGGTATACAAATGAAGCAAATAAATAAATAAATAAATTTCTGGGACTCGAAGCCCAAAATATCTGGAGACCCACAGGTTGAGGACCACTGCTAAAGTTTAATATTAATTCTTGTGAACAGAGAGCTCGCTTGTATTACCCTGCCTTCTTTGCCCTCAATTTTCTGAGGAAGTCGGACAAAGACAAATGCTGGTTTTGTTTAGCATGGGGTGGCTATAAATATGTCAGCCATTTTCCAATTCAAGACATACTGCTTAATTTGGCAAGACAGGATGAGCAAAAAATAAGAGGGTTGTTATTTCTGTTTGCTATAAATTTAGCCAAGTTTGATTTAAATGTATGCAAGTTTGAAATTGCTGATTAGCAAGCATTGAGGATGTGCAAAGGGAGGGGAAAGGCAGCCAGCTGGGAAGTGAAACAAGGGCAGTTTTCAAACGGGTAAAGTAACCCATTTACATAAATGTCAGCAGATAATACCATAGTTACATTGTCAAGTTGTCATCGCTACAGCTCTCAGCATATGCGGTGACAATATTTCAGTACGCTTTCTTAAAAAATGTAAACATTGTTTACACAGGTTGTATTTCATCTGCTTTATCGACTTAACCTGATGCCCTACAAACACCGAATCACCTCCATGTGTAGCTATGGCACCAACAGAAAGCTGTCAACTGCCCTGGCTCTTCTTGGGAAACCTTCCATTTTACTGCTGGTAAGAAAATAAAGCTTTGTTGGAAAAGGAGAAGGACTTCTCTCTTCTCTGAAGCTTCACAGAGGCAGCAGCAACAGCAGGAGCTGTGAGAAGGAAGATTTTGTGAAAGCCAGGAGGTGTGCTTAGCATGCTTAGTAACAAAATTTATGTTCTGAACAGAAACTAAACAGTGAGAAGGACTTATGAGAGCTTGAGCCTCACTCAAGAAAGTGAGAAGCATTCTAGTTCTTTCTTTAAAAAACATGTTTACACCACACATCTACCTTCTCTTCCCCCTTGTGTGAAACTTCATAAATGAGAAATCCCAGGGATAAGCTAGATGACTCTGGAAACCAGGGTTAAATTCCCTGTTTGGCCATGGAAACCCACTGGGTGGGTTATTTCGGGCGGATCACAGACTTTGGGACTCAGAAAGCCCCTTAAGGTCACTATGAGTTGGCAAAACTTTAAATGCACACTACCAGGCATGTAGCGGGGGGAGGGGGGGGATAGGGGCTTCAGCCCCCCCCCCCCGACATTCTCACTGGTCTGCGAGAAGGCCTTACTGGTACATTATTTAAACTGTTGTGTTTATTAATATCATGATCTGATCACCATTCTCAATATATCCCATATGTATGGGGGTATTGGGGTAATGATACAAAGGGTTTGCTAGGGTAGACTCGCTTTCACTCAGACTCAGCCCCCCCCCCCCCGAATCAAACTCAGCCCCCTCCGAATCAAAATCCTGGCTACGGGCCTGCACACTACAATAACGTTTACTTTCATATCAGAGAAATCTGTAAATTGGATTACATTGGTTGGCATAATCAGGCATGCCCTGACTATGGCAGTCTTTAGGAGGAGCTTGAAAACGTGGCTGTTTCAGTGTGCCTTCCCAGAATAGGAAATGTGCAGAAGTTATTAATACTTTGCATGTTTTAAACTGTATATATATGTGTTTGGGTTAGCTACAGTAACACTGGAGCAGCCTATTTCAGAGATCCTCAGTCAGCGTTACCATGGAGACCAAGGCAAGCTGGCAGAAGGAGGAGTGGGAGGAGCCAAGTGGAGAGAGTTTTGAAAACAGACAGTTTGAGAGTCAGTTAGGAGTTGATTTTGTATCTGAGAGGAGTAAAAGAGTGGAAGTGAAGAGTAGAGTGGGAGAGTGAAGTGTGAAGCAAAGAATTGTGGCTTTGGGAAGCCTGAATAGCTACTGGAGGTTTCTCAGTCTAAGGAGGTTGAAAGGAGAAACATAGCCAGTTTTCTTTAGTCAAGGGAAAGGCTAAAGGATAAGCTTGTTAATTTATTTGATCAAGGAAAGATCAAATAGGGAAGATATTCCTGTACTGAAACATTGTTTAGTAATAAGAGCTTCACCTCAGTAAGATACTGTGTAACCTGGAAGAGTGAAATGTTTAACTAACCAAGTATTATTCAAAGTTCTATAAAATAAGTTACAACTTGCAACCACACGCTTTGTACTCAATAAACCAGTTATCTTTTGTTGAAGACAGTCTCATCTCCATCCATTCTGCGTCTGTATTGCCATATCTCACAGTAATACCTCATATCTCACGTTGGTGGCAGTTACCATAGATTACATATTAAAATTGGCCTCCACTATACCAGTTGGTGGCAGAATTCAGAGAAATAAACAATAAACCTCCCTCTACTCTCCTGTCACACGACAGCACGTGTGCTTTCTCTCCACTCTGAATCACCTCCTCGCAGAAACTCCAAGCACTTTGTCCCAAATGCACTTTACTAGAGATCTAGGACTGTCTGCACGCCCTACCTATCTCCAAAATATCTATCAATTTCACCCGGTCATCCCCACCTTTTTAAAATTTTAACCATTACATCTGGCCCTGACACTTGGTTTTTAATTGCGTCATGTTGTTATTGTTAATGTTATTACTTGAGTTTTATTTATTGCTGTATTGTTGTTGTCTTGTTTATTGTTGTATTGGGTCTCGGTCTACTGTAAGCCGCACCGAGTCCTTCGGGAGATGGTAGCAGGGTACAAATAAAGGTTTATTATTATTATTATTTCCTACTAAACTCAAACCCCTCTCTGCACCAAGCAGAGAGGCATATGCTATATTTGGGGCAGGCAGGGGTAGAGCTATGCAATCATTCATCCAGAAGCACCTCAAAGCTGCGGCTTCAGACAACATGCTCTGTGGGCCATGTAATTACTGTGCCAATTGTGCCAAGGCCACAAAGAGCAGTATGTAGAAGGCCACAAGTTGATTCCCCATAGTTTTGCTGCATTCATCGATGGATAACATCTGTATGTGCAACAACTACCTTGACTAATGTCTCCTCTCATGTCAGCCAATTATGGGATGAAAATTACACATAACAAGCTTCATGCACCTAGTTACATCTAATTTGTCAGAGCAGCTGATGGTATGATGGAAACTCAACCTTTGTGTTTCTCAGCTTGCTGTCACTACTTCCACATCAGATGAAGGAAAGAAGCTAGGAGTCCCCTCCATGTTACTTGTCAGTGTAGTGGATAATACTGTATAAACAGTGCATTTTTTATTATCTGCAACTTCCCTATACACATTCATCCGAAGGGATAAAGCACACTCAGTTCTGGTATTTTGCCTGTGTGTCCTTCTGCTTTGCACGCTCTCCAGTTGAACAAGGAAAATGTCGAAGTGTACAGAACAGGTGGATATATAATTACTATACAGTGTTCTGTTTGCAACTGACGCATATGTGTGGTAGTGCTGCAGTGAGAATACAGTGTGACACAAAGATTTTTGAAAGGATATCATATTGAGGAGGGAGCAAGCTTCTTTTTTGCTGCTCTAGCGATTTAGTGCATTTACACTGAAAAATGAATGCAGTTACACATGGCCATGGCTCAATGATATGAAATCATGAGAGTTTAGTTTCTATAGTCTTTAGACTTTTCTGCCAAAGAGTGTTGGTGCCTCACAAAATAACAAATTCCAGGGTTTTATAGCATTGAGCCATGGCAATTAAAGTGATGCCAAATTGTGTTAATTATACAGTGTAAATGCACCCTAAGGCATGGAGCAACTGCTTGAAACTACAGGAGAAGAGATTCCATCTGAACATTAGGAATCATAGAATCAAAGAATTGGAAGAGACCTCATGGGCCATCCAGTCCAACTCCCTGCCAAGAAGCAGGAATATTGCATTCAAATCACCCCTGACAGATGGCCATCCAGCCTCTGTTTAAAAGCTTCCAAAGAAGGAGCCTCCACCACACTCCGGGGCAGAGAGTTCCACTGCTGAATGGCTCTCACAGTCAGGAAGTTCTTCCTCATGTTCAGATGGAATCTCCTTTCTTGTAATTTGAAGCCATTGTTCCATGTCCTAGTCTCCAAGGAAGCAGAAAACACGCTTGCTCCCTCCTCCCTTTGGCTTCCTTTCACATATTTATACATGGCTATCACATCTCCTCTCAGCCTTCTCTTCTTTAGGCTAAACATGCCCAGCTCCTTAAGCCGCTCCTCATAGGGCTTGTTCTCCAGACCCTTGATCATTTTAGTCGCCCTCCTCTGGACACATTCCAGCTTGTCAATATCTCTCTTCAATTGTGGTGCCCAGAACTGGACACAATATTCCAGGTGTGGTCTAACCAAGGCGGAATAGAGGGGTAGCATTACTTCCCTAGATCTAGACACTATGCTCCTATTGATGCAGGACAAAATCCCATTGGCTTTTTTTGTCGCCACATCACATTGTTGGCTCATGTTTAACTTGTTGTCCACGAGGACTCCAAGATCTTTTTCACGCGTACTGCTCTCAAGCCAGGCATCCCACTAAGTGTACAGAGGTTTTTAGCTATATATTGCTGGTGGTGGTGCCTCCGTTATCCCCACCACCATTTCCTGGGACCATAGTTGGTATCAAGGCTCACAACACAGTAATGGCAAAGTGTATTAGCAAAAGTATCCTCTTTTTTGTCAAATTCTTTGACAAATTACTGCCAAATTCTTTCATTTTAGGATGAACCAAGCTCTGGGATGGATCCTAATGCTAAGAGGCATCTGTGGAAAATCATCACTGAGGAAGTGCAGAACCAATGTTCGGTGATTCTTACATCACACAGGTAGAGTGCCTGAGCTGATAGATTGCACCCATGGAATTGTTCAAACTCAGAGTTCACATTCCTTATTAGGATTCAAACCTGCACCACCTCCAATAATAATAATAATAATAATAATAATAATAATAATAATAATAATAATAATAATAATAATAATAATCTTTATTTATACCCCGCCACCATCTCCCCGCTGGGGACTCGGGGTGGCTTACATGAGGCCAAGCCCACTACTACCCTCCTCTCCTCCTCCTCTCTTCTTCTCCTCTCTTCTTCTCATATAGCATTATCATCATTATGTATTTTTACTGTACAAGTAAAAGAACAACAAAACAGTTCCCTGCCTTCTGTCTATTCAAACCAATTTATGTTCACTGATAACAGAATACACGTAAACTGTGCTTGCTACCATGCATTCCATTTGAAGTGAATAATGACAATGAAAAATGTGGTTGAAATGTTGACAGTGCACAGCTCCATACCTTAGCCTAGGCAATATCTGTCTGTTCTTGCTAACTGCTGTGCATGATGAATATACAAGCCATCATATTTCAGGTATACTTGTGGGAAATTACTGCTACCTGTTTCAAATTCAAACTTATTGTACGTTTACACTGCAATTTGTCTTTAAAATCAATACAATTGGCCCTACACAATTGTGGATTTAACCTTTATGGATATGATTATTTGTGGATTATTTGATGCTGTTACTGCCCAATGCCATATTTAATAGGGATTTATAAGGCTCACATTGCATTCCCAGTCACTTTGCAAACCTCACAAGACTGTGAACATGAAGCAAGGCTTATAATTCCTTATTAACAACAGTCTGGGGTAGCAGGGGAGGAGGTGGCAAGCCTTGGCAGCCACCTGCTTCAGCCTTGTGAAAAGGTTGGTTGATTTTGCAGGTCAAACAATACTTTTGTGTGTGTGTGTGTTAAATATGGTTGGTGGAGGACCTCAAGATATTTATGATTTTCCCACATTTGTTGGGTTCTGTGTCCTTAACCCCTGAGAATGTGGAGGGGCAATTGTATTCACAGTAGCCAGCAATAAAATACACTCATAAAATATAAAAACGTGAGCATTAAAACAACAGGTTCAGCACAGTGGTACAAAGAACTACAATATTCTGTTCCATTTCATGCTGATGTCACTGTCTCTGTAAAATGTCCGTGGTATAATAAAGGGTGCTTCCAGATAGTACCAAAATGTTGGGGGGGGGGAGTGGGTTTTTAAAATGCAGGACCTCAAAGTGGGTCCAAACACAGAGCTGTCAGTCCCACTGCATAGCCCCACGCCATCCTCACAGTTATTTTTGAAACAAAATTAAGATGGAGGGTGGACGAGGAACACCCTGCACATATGAGATCCAGCGCATAATGGGGCAAATTTACATGTTGTGGATCTCTGTCTTCCCCAATTATTAATTCAAGATCTATTTAACATAACAAAGTGTAAAAGACAGAATTTGAGAGAGTTGTATTTGCTTTCCACTTGTGCTTCCCTGAGCCACCTGTGTCTCCATTTGACAGCTGATTGATCAGCTGTTTGGGGATTTTCAGAAATGCTTGTGCTCTGCAAGAGTCCACACAGGAGGGAAGGAATGCATATGTTTTCCATGACTCCTGGGATACCCAGATTTGGAAAGGTGCATGTTTCTCAGGAAGAATTGGGTTTAAAGGGCACCTTTTAAACACACGTTTTCCAGCCCTTAACCCAATTCCTCCTGATTCCTCTCATACTTTGGCTAAATGTCATTAACCCCCCCCCCCCCCTTTAACTCACTTCCTCTGGGATTTCAATGCATGTGTTGAAAGGCCCAAAGGTTCCCCTCTCCAGGGTATCTCTTCCTTTGGTGGTATCTTTTTAGCAATCCCCAAAGACATGTGCTTTCCTGGCTACAGGTTTTTATGAGAATCATGAAGTTAATTTGAATCACAAATTGCATGTTATTTGTTTGCTTCTATGATTTGTACTCTGTGTTCTCCTTCTCCAGAGAAGTGCACAACATTGTAAGATGCCAATAAAACCACAACAATAAAACAATTTAAAATCCAATTATGAAAGCATCTGCAAAAGTTTCCATAACTGGCAGGAATAGAGAAAAAAAGCAACATTCAACTCAAAGGAGGGCCCTTTGGAGTCCTCAGCTATGGTATTATCCTCTGGTGCTTCTGGCCAAATTACAGGAGAAAAATGACTGGTTTTAGAGAATGTTTTCTTATATTTAAGAGCAGAGAGTATTTGTAACTTATTGAAAAGGTGTGGATAATCAAGAATCCAGAGTTTTTCATCAGGATATAACTCTGCTGCTTTGGTTTTCAGCATGGAGGAATGTGAGGCTCTCTGCACACGACTGGCTATCATGGTAAATGGACGCTTCCAGTGCATGGGTTCATTGCAGCACATCAAGAGCAGGTTAGTAAAGCATCTCTCTGGGAAAGGTTTACTAAACAGAAAGCAGTGCTATATATTTTATACAACTGTGTGGACTGGGAATTTGATACTTTTTCATTTGGTTTTGATAAAGGAATGTTCATTTAGTAATAGATTCTTATTTTCAGAAATATTCTGTTTATATTTAATAACCTTTTGTTTCCATAGATTTGGAAAAGGATTCACTGTGAAGCTGCATTTGAATAATGAGCTGGATAGCATAGAGAAGCTGACACAGTTTTTGCAATCAAACTTTCCAAACACACAACTAAAGGTAAATATAAGAAAATAATATTTGTAATTACCCGTATTTACTCAAGCCTAATGCACCATCAAATGTAATGTGCACCTCAATTTGCAAAACCCTGAAACCAAAAAAAAGAGAAAAGTATTTGCTGCTGAATGTAATGCACAGTAGCAAAAAATTGTGCTCTTTGTGATTTGGCGATAAAAGGTGTGCATTACTGTTGCTGCCTGTTTATAATTCCTTTGTTATAAACAATTGTGCTAGAACACCAAACTTTCTAGCAATTGAAAATAAAACCTTGGGGTGCATCTATGCTGTAGAATGCTTTGGTTCAATGCTATGTGTTTTGCCTCAGAAACAGCCTTACAGCAAGGGTTAAAGGAACTAAAAAAGCTTTGCTTCAGCAAAATGATAATAATGCAACAAACAGCAGCAAAGGAACAGAAGGTAAATCCCAAAAGCAAAGCAAAAGTCTTGCATCAGACATGAAACAAGAGTCTTTGGCAAAAAGTCTTTGCAAGGCACTTTGCAGATGCTGGAACTGCAAGCAAGGAAACCGGAGCACAAAAACACTAAGTAGAATGGTTGCTACCAGCCTTGACCACTTGCTTTACTGCTGATTTATAGCCCTCAGCTCCCAGCAAAGGTGTTTCTAGGTCAGTGGTTCTCAACTTGTGGGTCCCCAGGTGTTTTGGCCTACAACTCCCAGAAATCCCAGCCAGTTTACTAGCTGTTAGTCTTTCTGGGAGTTGAAGGCCAAAACATCTGGGGACTCACAGGTTGAGAACCACTGTTCTAGGGTAAGGTCTTATTGCTCAGCATCCTTGCAGCAATTCTAGCTGACTTTCTCCTTTTTCCCTACCACGTTCCTGAAATGTAGACACCAGCTATATGTTTTCTTCACCCTCTTCTTCCTCCTCAACACTTGGCCCCAAATCCCCAACTCCTACATCTTCAGCCTCCTGTTCTACCTCCTCCTCAGAAGAAGAGTACACAACACCATGGAATCCTGTTGAGGTGTAGTTTGACAATGTTTTGAGCCTTCTATGCCGAAAAACACTGGTGTCTTGCCAAACTAAAAATCCTAGGATCTAATAACATTGAGCCATGGCCATAATTAGAAATAACATCCCTCAAAGAGGAGCTCCAGGTGCAGCTCCTGAACCAGCTTCCCCTTTTGCTTTGGTTCAGCACTAAGATTGCCATATGATGTGAATATAATGCCCAGTCCAGTTTTGGTAAGGTTATTTAGCCAAAAAAAGGTGAGCATTAGATTCTAATAAATATTGTGCTTAATGTATGATTGAAATGCTTCAGCCACATCTTCATCTATGCAGAGATGGACTTTTTTTGTATTTTAGATCAATAGTAACCATGTTTGCTTGTTACTTAGTTGTAAACTGCTCAAGACACAAACCTTCCTTTGTTGTTATAGTAAAATGTGAGATGTAACCTTGTCAACTTCTTACTAAGCTGAATAACCTGTATTTATAAGCTGTATCAACGCAGGGCCCTTCCACATAGCCATATAATCCAGAATATCAAGTCAGAAAATCCCACAATAGCTGCTTTGAACTTGGTTATGTGAGTCCACATTGCCATATATTCCCGTTCGAAGCAGAAAATATGGGATTTATTCAGTTGCCTGAAAGGGGCCACAGACAGCAGGTGTTCCTTCATATCAAAAACTAACCCCCCCCCCCACACACACACATCTGGCAATCCTGCACAAATGTATGGTTATTTGGTTATTCATCTGTAGTTAAACTGGTACACCCTGACACAAGTCAGAGAGTGTTCAAATAACTTTGAATAAGCCTAAAAGTATTATAACAGTGGAATATAACAATTATAAACCAGCATCAACTATATGTTATTATCATGAATGTCATTATTTTTGACAAATATTTATGCATCTACAGTGGAATTTATAGACTTTTCCCTTTCATCATTAACCTTTGTTTGCTACAAAAATTGCATTATGTGAATTGTAAAGTATGGAGAAATGATGAAAAGGAAAGAATACTAAAATGTGCCTTTCCACAGGGATATTTTGTGAGCAAAATCAAGTATGATTCATCCACTAGTCAAAGCTAGAAATACACGAGGCATAAGAGTGAACTAGAATTAGATAAAATAAAAAGATATCTTTCTTGGATTAAGAGGTATTTCCTAAGCAAATGAATTCCAGTCTTCCTACAATGGAAGAAATTTTGAATTTCCCAAAAAGAAGCAGCTCACTGATATTCATTCAGAGCACATCATTTGTGTTCCATAAAATAGTGATTCATCAAAGAAATAGCTAGAGAGTTTTTTTAAAAAATCATCCAATGTGTTAAATTTTCTGGGACAAAAATGGGAAAATGCAGCTGATTGGTTGAGACATTGTTTGATCTTGCCATTTTTGTTGCTGGTGCTTGAAGGTGCACAAAAAGGGGTATATAGTAAATGACTGAAATTTGAGGGAAATTGCAGATGACATGTAGATTTTTTTAGCACATTTGAGACCAACAGAGAAATAGATGTTGGTAGCATAAGCTTTCATAGACTGAAATGTACTTCATCAGATGCAGTCTATGGAAGTTTTGACTACTGACCTTGTTCTTTCAGTTAGCCTCAAAGGTGACACATGATCTCTCTGCATACAGATCCAGACTAGAATACCTCTGAGAATTTCCCCTTTGTGTTCAAGTGCAACTGGTAACACTGTATGTAACTGATGCCAAGGTCCCTCCAGAACTATTGTGTGGACATTCAGGAAACCTAGTAGGGAGTTTTGGAGTTAGGTGCCATCTCTACGCAGATGACACACAACTCTATTACTCTTTTCCACCTAATTCCAAGGAAGCCCCTTGAGTGCTGGACGAGTACTTGGCTGCTGTGGCTGTCTGGATGAGGACGAACAAGCTGAAGATCAATCCCGACAAGACAGAAGTCCTCCTGGTCGATCGAAAACCGGATCGGGGTATAGGGTGGCAACCTGTGTTGGATGGGGTTACACTCCCCCTGAAGTCACAGGTCCGCAGTTTGGGAGTCCTCTTGGATTCATCACTTACACTTGAGGCTCAGGTGTCGGCGGTGTCCGGGAGGGCTTTTGCACAATTGAGACTCGTGTGCCAACTGCGACCGTACCTCGTAAAGGCTGATCTGGCCAGGGTGGTCCATGCCTTGGTCACCTCTAGATTGGACTACTGTAATGTGCTCTACATGGGGCTGCCCTTGAAAATGGCTCGGAAATTTCAGCTAATTCAACGGGCGGCGGCCAGGATGTTAACCGGTGCTCCTTACAGAGAGAGGTCGACCCTCCTGTTCAAGAAGCTCCACTGGCTGCCATTCATTTTCTGGTCCCAATTCAAGGTGCAGGTGCTCACTTACAAAGCCCTAAACGGTTTGGGACCTGCCTACCTGCGTGATCGCATCTCCTTTTACGAACCCGCACACTCCCTTCGTTCATCCGGAGAGACCCTGCTCACGATCCCACCTGCGTCGCAAGCGCGATTGGTGGGGATGAGGGACAGGGCCTTCTCTGTGGTGGCCCCCCCACTCTGGAACACCCTCCCCAAGGACATCAGACAAGCCCCTACATTGGCAGTCTTTAGGAAGAGCTTGAAGACCTGGCTATTCCGGTGTGCCATTCCAGAATAGGAAACTCCAGCAACACGTCCCAGAAGCACTTTATTAGAGATTAAGATTGTCCGCACATTGCACTTATCAAAAAATCCTTATATCTCACTCAGCATACTCAGCACTTTTTAATCTGTATCCATTCACTTGGCCCGGCCTAGTTTTTATTGTGTTATGGTGTATTGTTTTTACTGCTTGTTGTTATTGCTTTAATGTTTTGATTTGCTTTTGGTTTATGTGGTTTTGTTATATTGTTGTTTTTTGAGGCCTTGGCCTTTGTAAGCCGCATTGAGTCCTTCGGGAGATGCTAGCAGGGTACAAATAAAGTTAATAGTAATAATAATAATAATAATAATAATAATAATACCGAGAAAAGTTAATTAATATTGTCATGTGTCTTCAAATTGAACCCAGATTATAGCAAATTTACCATGTATATTTTTGCAAGATTTGCTCAGAATGGGGTTGCCATTGCATGCCTCTGAAGTTGAAAAAAGTGTGACTTTCCCAAGATCACTGAGTGGGTTTCTGTGGCTTATTGGTATTCTCCAAAGTCCTTGGCTGATATTTGAACCACTATACCATGCTTGTTCTTGAGAAAATCTATGCTTTTGTCTTATGAAGGATTTGGTAGAGAGTGAGCCAAGAGAAAACCTAAATGGCATCCGTGGGATGACAGTATTTCTATTATAAATGTTCTTCCTCCTTTCTGCCTCTGACATCCATCTGATTCTGATCAATCTACAGTAACTCTTCTTATTCCTATAGGACCACCAACTGAACATGGCAGAATATCATGTTCCCTTGTCTGCAGGAGGTGTAGCAAACATATTTCAACTGCTGGAAACAAACAAACAAATGTTCAACATCAGGCACTTCTCAGTGAGCCAAACAACTCTAGAAGAGGTATGAAATTGTATTTGTCCATCCCAACCATGAGCAATAAAACTGATTCAGTTATTATTTTCACATATAGAACACTAAATTGTGTATAAGATAGGAAAGCCTGGGATCATCCAATCTATCTTACTATTGTAAAGCAGGCTCTCTTGAAACTAAAAGATATGCAATATTTTATAGTCAGGTTCTTTCCTTGGAAATGTAGAAGCCCTTTGCTGATCCCTCCAGTCTCTCCATCTTCTATCCAGACCCATATCTCCCAGGACTCAGCCAGATCCCCACTGTGCCAACCAGAGAACCCCACAAACGTGTCACTACTTGTGGGCTCCTCACAAATATTCTGAACCTCCCGCACTTTAGTCCAGTCCATTTCTCCATCCTCTGGACTTGCCATACCACTCTCCTCAGTCTCAGACCCATTATTCCCTGCGAAGCCCTCAAATGATTCATCATCACTGGATTCCATAAGTATTTCCCTGATCCACTTTCTCTGTTGCTCCTCATCGGAGTCTTGCTCACAAGTAGTCTTTCTTCCCCTCCTAATACTCCCAGTAGTATCACTACTCAAAGACTCCATCACAACACAACCTGTACTTGTAAGAATGGGGCTTTAGTCTATAATGTAGTTGTGTTTTATTTTGTACACTGCTTTGAGTCCCATTTGTGGGAGGAAAGTGGGATAAAAGTAAATTAGTAATAATAATAATCTGTACAATTTCATCTATCTATGGTTATAATGACGCTCTTTTCAACACATTACTTCTGAGTTGTTGGGGTGGATCAGCTCCGTAGTGTGTTTAAACCCGTTTTTCCAAGTCATAGTTTGCATACACTCCCCACCCCCACCCCATATCCAGCATTTAACATTAGGAGGCTGGAAACTCTCCCAGTGGTGCCAGTCAGAGATTTTTCCTTAATACTAAATGTGATTGCTTGTGCACTCTCCCTCTCGGTCTCTGGAGTTTTATTGTGTTTGTAACCAGGAAGAAGATTTCAACTCACCACTCTAAGTGATGCCAGTGACTATTACTGCCTGTATTTAATATATGAAAACGATGACATGACTGCTAATCATATAATTAGCAACAGCAACATATGGAGTTTAGCTATAAAGAAGGCCAACTGCTTTTGTATTTTAAAGCTACCTATAAAACAGGATGTATTTAATTTGAAATTTTATCTTTGGTTTTATTTTAGGTTTTCATCAACTTTGCGAAAGCTCAGACCGGCCCTGATATTTTGGATACAAGCTCAGACACAGGTTCAGAGGGCTCTAACCTCAGCGGTGAAGATGCTGACATAATTGGTATCTGCTAAGCCTTTGAAATGGCTTTCCCAATGGTTTCCCATTGTTGAACTGAAGTTTTATATATATTTTTCAAGAGAGTTTATGTATTCATTTTGTAATCTTGAATACTAGAGCCCTGAATGGTGGTACTACAACCTATACCAAATTGATCTACTACCTGTTTAGTATCTTTTGGTTTAGATGCTCATTGATTGTGTATGGTAGACAAAGATGTGTACTTGCCACTAGCAAGGTTGGCTTGTGTGCTTGGGAAGTTGCTCAATTGCATGAGAACCTTACACCATGGAAAAGAACTGTTGCTATAAAATAGGCTAAAAATTACAACATGTATGGGCTACGTTAGTATTAAATGAAATCAAATAAAATTATTTTAAAGACAAGAGCAATGTATGTTTATTATAAGTATCTTTGTTTAACTACACTTGCGATCTAGGTTTCCCTTCATAATACATGAAAAAAAAATGCCTCCCAGAAGATATACATTATGGAGACTTCTGGAATACTTTTAAGATTTTTCATCGAAAAGCTCTACTGACTGCCAGTGAATTCAACCAGCTTTATACAGAATTCTTACAAAATCATTGTGTCTGGGAAACAAATGGGTATGATTATTCTGTCGTGCGCTGTGCCTGTAAATAATTGTCTTTAAATAGGATGTGCGACTTGAGCCCAGCGGGAAGCCAGGGCCCCCTGAAGAGAAGTTCTCAGAGGTTTTCCACCACAAATGGTCTTTAGATGGCTTGTGAAGTATAACAAAGTCCTTTATTAATGAACAATCAAACAGAAACTTTTCTTGTCTTCAGAAAGTTAAACAAATGATTCCAGGCTTTTATGCAACTGGTGGCTTCCTAATCTTGTCCACGAAGGACAGGCAATTGTCTTCAATAACTAATTCTTTAAGGAAAATCCCCTTTTTTAACTTCTCCCAGGCTGACTGTAATCTAATTCTTACTGATGTGGGCTCCGCTACCGGGTTGAATTGCATCTCGAACGCCGAGTGGACCTACCAGTAAGGCTAGTAGATTCTCCAGCTGGAGTTCTTTGGTCTTTAGGGCTGTTTCCCTGGAAATCTTTGGAGACTCTTAAGACTATTCTCTCCCGGAAAGTCTTAAGGGTTGAAGCTTTTGTACAGGAGAAGCTTGAACACGTCCTGTACATTAGCTTTCCTTAGCTGAGACTAACTAAAAATGGCTCCCTTCCCTTCCCAATTGCCCTGAGCAAGGGGCGGAACCAAACTTAACGATGATGGACAGGTGACTTGCCCTATGACTGCAACCAAAGGAAGCCACCCTTCTGCAGACTCCTTGAAACCTTGGACTGCAAGCAAACATTTAATACAAAGCAAATAAAGCTGGAGCTCCTGGTACAGCCGTACCACCACAATGATAATTATACAAACTCAACAATAACTGGCCAAACACTGTTTCCAAACTATGTATGTTACCACTGCTGTTCGAATCTCATACTCAAGTCAAGCTGGTATCTTTTGTCAGATGAATGTGTCGTGCTGTTTTGAATATGGCTCATTAAGAGGGATGGGGAAATCATGGAGTGGGGTGAGGGGCAGACCAGCAACAGGATGCACAGGGCATGATGTGATATGGATGGCTTGCCTGCTTCATGTGATAAAGACCTTGATATTTACCCAAATCCTGAAACCCTACATTTCACAGTATCTCACATGTTAGAAAGAAATCACATTGAGCTAACAATCTTTTTTAGCGTTGCAAAAAAGCCAGCACATGTGTACGAAAGGTGAAGAGTACTCTTAAGGCAGTAAAGTTTAATTTTCCTTAAGCTAGTTTTGATAACCTATGACTCTTTAGAAATTAAAATTCTCATGATAGATCTTTGCTGCCAGCATATAAATTTCAGAATGTGCTATATTTACTGATTAAATTCTCCCTTTCCATTCCAAGTTTTCTCCTACAAGCAGTCTACAATTCTGTATCATTTCCAGACATCAGCTGATCATTAACCTGAACTTTAAAAAGTTACTTCTTTTGAGCTTGTTTGGAGGTTCTAGCAGGGGAGCGCAGCTATCGTATACACGGGACCAAAGACTGGAGACCTTGGTACACTCTTTCTATACCTGGGACGTCATCCTCTTCCACCGAGCACGCAGCTTTGGGAGGGACGCACATGGAGTGGTGAGGGAGGAAGGGGACACCCGCCTAGCTAGCCAGATCAGCCGAATCAACCTTGGCGATCAATGGGGTGACAGATGTCACAGTCAGATCGCCCTCACTTGGGAATCTACATCACAGCAAAAAATGCACAATTAATGCAAAACAACTACAACCATAAATGGAAAGAAATCAAAAAAGACCTAAAGAACTGGACAACTCTGGCACTGGCCTATAAAGCCCTAAACGGTTCCGGCCCAAGATACCTAACTAACCGCCTCTCGGCCTATGAGCCCACGAGGACTTTGATATCTTCCGGGGAGGCCCTGCTCTCAATCCCGCCTGCGTCACAGGCACGGCTGGCAGGGACGAGAGATAGGGCCTTCTCGGTGGTGGCTCCTCGGCTGTGGAACACCCTTCCCGTAGACATCAGAAACAACGGAAATGGTATCGGATTGTGAATTTGACAATGAGACGACTCGGAATGGTTTTGTAGTAAGGTTATGTTTTTGATGAGATGTTTGATAATTATGTACTGTGGATTATTTTATTTTATGTTGTATTTTGCACCTGTTTTTCTATGTTGTACACCGCAATGAGCCGCCAGTAGGCTGAGATTTGCGGTATATAAGCGTAGTAAATAAATAAATAAATACATAAATCTATCCTTACTGGGTAGAATATCAGCTATTAAAACGTACCGGAGCCAATGCGTGGAGTATATGGATCAAGTCTCTGAAAAATCTCTCCTCCTATGTGGGGTACCCCAAGGTGCAATTCTCTCCCCTCTTCTCTTCAACATCTATGTTAGACCGCTTGCTAATTTGGCTTGGAGTTTCGGCCTAGACTGCTATCAATATGCGGACGACACCCAACTCCTTCTGCGTTTGGAGCCTGGAGCAACGTCAATGCCAGACAATTACACCTTATGTCTGGAGGCTCTATCAAACTGGCTACGTGGTAGCAGACTGAAGGTGAACCGGCGAAGACTGAGATTCTCTGGCATGGCCGCTTGATTGGTCTGTTCCATTTGCTACCCACTTTCGATGGTGCTGCCCTATCTCCTTCGCCTACCATTAAGAGCTTGGGTGTCGTTTTGGTTTCGCAGCTGACAATGGAAGCTCAGGTCGCTGCTGCCAGCAAACAGGCCTTTTTCCATCTACGACAAGTGAGGCAATTGGCACCCTACCTATCTGATGAGGCTCTGGCAACAGTCATCCATGCCACGGTCACGTCTAGGCTGGACTATTGCAACGCCCTGTATGTTGGCCTTCCGATGTCTATGACCCGAAAGCTCCGTATTGTTCAGAATGCTGCAGCCAGGCTACTCACAAGAACGCCCATGAAATGCCATATAACACCAGTGTTGCGGCATTTGCATTGGCTTCCAACTGATTACCGTGGTCTGTATAAGATACTAGTTCTGACCTTTAAGATTCTTTACGGCCAGGGTCCATCGTATCTTAGGGACCGTCTCTCATTCTCCCATCATTGGAGGTCGCAACGACCATCCCAACGTGACTTACTTTATATACCGGGTCCTAGAGAAGTGCACTTGGAAAGGACCAGACGCAGAGCTTTTTCTATTTCTGCCCCTGCCTTGTGGAATTCCTTGCCGCCCTACATGAGAGCCATGCGTGACTTAGGGCCTTTCACCCTAGCACTTAAGACCTGGCTTTTCACTAGAGCTTTTGATCTATGTTAATTTTATCAATATCTGTATGTATGTATTTTTATCCTTTACAATTTAGCTTGTAAATCGCCTAGAGCATCTTGGATGGAAACACACAGAATGGCTAAATTTACCCTGCCATATGCATTGACACACACTGTGACAAGATTTTTCTTTGTTCTTTCTACATTGCTTTGCTTGACAAACTATATTTATTTGGTATATTTCCTTCCCTTTCTGCTTAAAAACAAGGAAAAGAAGAATATAATGGGGATGGCATTCTTGGCATGATCCATATCAAGGCAGAGTATGACAGCCATTTGCAAGCAGTGACCCATCAATAGAAGACCAAAGTTAATATAGACATTCTGCAGGATACATAGCGAAAATATCATCACATAACTCTCATTTCCATGCGATTATCCTCAGGCAGATGCCCTGTGCAAACAAGTCTGTCACTTGAGCACAGCAGGAGAACTCTTTCTTTGTCAACTGCAATTCATCATTTTATCTTCTCCTTCCATCCAGAATCTCTCTGAACTGAAGTCCTAGTTTATTTTCTATCAATAAGCTTTTGATCTCTGCTCTTTTCCACATTATCTGACTTCAGGTCTTTATGATGTCAGGACATTTTCCAGGGAGTCAGAGAAAACCAAATCTTCAACTGATTGAATCATGTGAACTCTAGATGTTAATTGAAATAGGAAGTTCGTACTCATTGTCCTTGATTGAAGGACACTCTTGTAAATCACGTATGCAAGTGAGGAATATTGATATCAAGGCAATGGCAAGAAACGTCCAGAGCAAATGATGTCAAGTAGACATTTAGAAATTGACTAGCAACAGTGAATTAAATCAATTGGAGTTGATTTTCCTTTTTTGGTTTAATTTGGAACTTCAGGTGGTATCTACCTTGTCTTGTTTGTTAAAATGTTGGTGCTTAGAACCTTCAGAAGCCTTCTGACTCTGTAAGAATACTTACTAAAAGTTTATTTATTTTTATTTATTAATTAAATAAATAATATAATTAGAGAGAGAGAGAGAGTTGATCTAAAAGATAAATGCAAGATACTCCACTTTGGCAGGAAAAACGAAATGCAAAGATACAGAATGGGGGACAATGCCTGGCTCGAGAGCAGTACGTGTGAAAAAGATCTTGGAGTCCTCGTGGATAGCAAGTGAAACATGAGCCAACAATGTGATGTGGCGGCAAAAAAAGCCAATGGGATTTTGGCCTGCATCAATAGGAGCATAGTGTCTAGGTCCAGGGAAGTAATGCTACCTCTCTATTCCCCCTTGGTTAGACCACACCTGGAATATTGTGTCCAATTCTGGGCACCACAATTCAAGAGAGATGTTGATAAGCTGTGTCCAGAGGAGGGCGACTAAAATGATTAAGGGTCTGGAGAACAAGCCCTATGAGGAGCGGCTTAAGGAGCTGGGCATGTTTAGCCTGAAGAAGAGA